GATGGCACCACGCGACTGCCGATGTGGCATGAGTTTATTTGTGTATGTGCAATTCATGGCTGTACGTGGGCTGGGATACTGCCAGGGCGCCCATACCTAGACAGGAGGACGATTAAGGTCCTCAACCAAAGCCTTTGGCTCAAAAGCCTAACCGCAAGGCAGCGGTGTCTGGCGGGAAATGCAAATGCATTACCATTTCTACGGAACAAGTCGCCACATGTTCCAACCCCCAACCTGGAGGGCCATGAGACTGTGTTCGTCAGACCTCTAACCATTGACCAACCTGGTGTGAGAGACTCTGTGAGTGTCGCGGGACACTCTCCAGTATAGCTCAATGGATCACTGAGGTGCGCAAACCGTCACACCACGGTAAGGTCCAGTCTCTTCGTGACGGCTCACATCGGTTAGCCGCCATGTTGTTCACTGTTCCCAAACAAGCACACATGGGCCCTATCCTGGAAGGCAAGCAACACGAACAACACCTAAACTTTTCGTAAGATCCTGCAATTTCTTCTGTTGTGTCACATTCTGTTTACTCCTAGTTTTCTGCCACTCCGAATTAGGCACGAGAAACAGGGTTCATTTCGGCTGGTGGTAAGTCGACATGTGCGACACATGGCCCAGCCAACTCGCCGTGCAGTGCCGGATGCACTCTTGGGGATGAAGTACCGTCCGTTTCGCCAAACACCTATCTCCTGATCACTTCACTGAACTCATTAGTTTCATCCGAATCCAGCTACAGTTCTGAGATGTCGGTGGCCGAAGACCTGAATACATCTCAGGTCGTCCACCTGACGTGACCAAGTCTCGCAACCGTGCAGCAATAGAGCCCGAACTAATATTCGCGTCCTTTGAGACTCAGTGATAGGCCTTTCTGACACCACAAGTAATGCAAACTGGCAAACGTACTTCTGGCCTTTGAGATCACACCACCGTCGGAGCTAATTTAATTTCTAAAACCTCCAGTGTCACTCCTCCGCTTCTTAGAGGCATGTTCAAGGCTGTCGTCTTGCAGCGTCACTTTCCAATCTGTGGGCGCGGGCCACATACCGAACGACTAGTATTGCTTGCACTTACTACTCTTATTTGAAAATGATGTCAACCGCATTATCCAGATCGACAAGGCCCTTGTCCGGAGAGATCTGAACAAGGAGATTTGGCAAACCGTCTAGTGGTCGCTTCATTACCTAATTAATGACGAAATCAGAGGGGAATTGAGAGTAGACACCACTGCCTGAAGGAAAACTTTTGGACAGCTCTCCAAACACTCACGCACCTACGGGTATGTGAATGAATGAATGGTCCGGCACCCTTCCAGTGCCTAGATGCCTTGCCGACCCAAAGGAAGCACGAGGGCAGAAATACTGCTAGGTTGCTCAAGCCTAGACAGGATCGTTCTAGACGCAGAGGTCGGGTTCGAATCACGGACCTTCCGGTAAGTTCGTGCCATAACCATTGAGCTATCTCAAGCTCAAGTATGTGGATGCGGACAACACATGATATTAAAGAAATTCTGGGCATACCCTGTTGAGCATGCATGTTGACAGCTAACCAGGTGACAGAATCTAAAACACTCTTAAGGTCAAGGAACACCAAGATTGTGTGATGCCTGTGCGTATACTGTTGCTCTAACATCTGACGGGATATAAAGGTGATTTACATGGCCTCTTCTCGACAAGACGATTTGGAGCTCGAGGTAACCCAACAAACTTATTAACCAGGTCTGCATCTCAACCGCTCCTGTCTAGGCTTGGGCGACCTTACAGTATCTCAACCTCTTTGCTTCCTCCAAGTAGCATGGCAGCTGGGCATTACAACTGGCTATTACAGCTGGACGATTTCTGCTGCTGTTCTGACATCCTGCCTTCATGGGCCTCCGTAGGACCAAGTAGAACAAGTGACGCCAAGAGTCTGATTACAACGGGGGGTAACTAAATCATCTGCGGTTGCCACACTCACTGCCAGCACTTTTTGGAAAGGGATACCACTGTTACCCACTTCACTTAGTTGGGACGTTCTATTTCGCCCAGACAGAGGCAGAAAAGTTAGACGGGCACCAACTGAGGATATCACCGCCATTTTTGGACAGACTGGGTGGGACTTTGTCAAAACCAACATCTCCAAGATTCTTGAGTGACAAAAGACATTCGCTTATTCCCGAGTCCGTCGGGGATTCCAAGTTTACTGTCCAGGGCTGTGTTGGGGTTCTAGAATCCGTCTGAGCAACGATAAGTGGCTAGTTGAATTGCTGTTGAAAGTGTTCCACTCAATGAGTCACGCACTCTTCTTCCTTGGAGATAGGGGAGCCGTTGCAATCACTAATTTCTCTCACTGAGGGTCCATTTGGGACTGTTGCACGTATCACCTAGGACAGCTTAGACATATTTCTAGAGTTTTTTATCTACTCCATTCCTTCAATTTTTTGGACCCACCAGACACCTCAACTTGCACAGGTGACTTTCACCTTAAGTCGGACAGTTCGCCGAGTGGTAGCGCACTCTCAAACATGCAAAAGGGTCCGAGCTTCGAGCAAATTTAGAGTGTTTCTCGAGATCCAGTGCTTAGATCTGGTAGGTTCCGCCGTTTCGCAAGTGGAGCGCCCAGCATCTAGCACAGTTGCGGGGACCACTTCCACTAAGAATCAACATAAGATGTGCAGTCAGGAAGGGACTTCAGTAGGTGGTTGTGGTAGACCTGCTTCACATCTGGCTCTGAAGCTTCTCAGTAATTGACCCACACCCCCTACAGCCAGTATCAACGCAGATGATCTGTAGTGGAGGTTCGCTCGCATGCAGGAGCACCATGTAACCAAGCGGTCAGGGAACTTTCCGAAGTTAGTACTGCACAGAAACTGTCTGTTATCAGGATATAACTGCAACATGCGTTCGACGTCCGTATGTCTCGATTGCAGTCCAAGACAACCACTCAGTTGAGCCTTAGAAGCGCTAAGTCTACCCACTTGCGCACTAATACCTCCGGTAACCATAACAATACCTGAAGTCTCAACCCACCGTAACGAGGCAATCAAAACGTTACAAACTGTTGAGGTGTAAGCAGATAAAACGGACAGACTGATTATCGTCGCGTTCAGAGGATACTCTCAGAAGCTGCCAAACGAACCGCACAGGGCGACGACGAACAGGCAACTATTCAACCACAGACCCTTCAGGTGGACGGTTTAGGACAACGCCAACTCCACAATGATCAGCAGCAGCCACTTGTGGATCACCAGATGTGCACAAGCAGAAGCCAGAAGAAAGTGGTGGGGAGGTCAGTTAAACAACAGTACTTGGGTCTTGAATCCTACTTTCAGAGGGACAGCACGCATCGATGGAAAGGAGTACAGTGTACATCATTATCGTCGTCAGCACTATCACCATCAGTGTTGACACTGATGATGTCGTACAACTAGATAGCTGATCCTATTATATTTGAAGCCATAGAGTAAAAAAAAGAGGAAAAGATTGGGCGAGGGAGAGGACTCGTCACAAAGAGATTGGATCATACCGTTATCTGACGGTTCATGCACCTCGGCGACCCACTGAGCCATACTGCGGGGTATCCGCGTGACACTCACAGTCTCTCATACAGGGTTGGTCTCCTGATCATCCAGATCGGGGGTTGGAACACGTGTGGCGACTTGTTCCGTGAAAACGGTTATGTATTTGCATTCCCGGCCAAAAGCCGCTGCCTTGCGGTCAGGCTTTTGAACCAACCGCTTTGGCTGAGGACCCTAATCGTTCTCCTGTCTAGGTATGGGCGCCATGGCAGTATCCCAGCCCACGTACAACCATGAATCGTACACATACAAATAAACCCATGTCACATCGGCCATCGCACAGTGCCAGCAGCTGGGCCACCTTACCCGCTGCATACAGCAGGGCGGGTAAGCGAAAACAGGCTTTTGTTGATGCCTCCCTTCTTTCTCTTTCACACACTTTTCCGCCTCTCCCAACCTATTAATAACTCTTCCCTTGTACGCCCGTCAGTTGAAAATGATGACCCCGTTCGTCCTGTATTGGTTTTGCAAGCAACATATGCGCATCATACAAGGTCAACATTCTAAAGCATCTCCAAATCAAACTTCAAGCCTCGACACCCAGTCTATCTGGCTGCCTTCAATGTCCACACTCTGAAGCAAGCAGCTGCTCTTGCTCTCACGCTGGACTCGCTTGGTATTGAGGTGTGCTGTGTATCAGGAACAAGAATTCAAGATGCAAGCACAGTGGTTGAGCTAACCGCCCCATCCAAGCGTCTGTGAAGGAGTCCCGCCAAGACAGGAGTTGATCGATGTTTGTTGTTCGTGTCTGCCCTGAATGACTGCAGCTCTGACACCACCAAAAACAAGTATTAAGACGCCCTGTTGCGGGGAGCTAGAAGCTCGGATGTCGGTGTGGTTTTTGGAAATCTGAATGCACAAGTGGGTAGGCTAACACATTTGAGATTCAATTAAGTGGTCAACATGGATTGGACTCGGTACGTACGGACAACGTTGAACGAGTGCTTCAGCCGTGTGCTGGCCACAGGCTGTTTTTACGTAGTACTAACATCTGAAAACACCGAAGTCCTCTGGCCACATGGTGTCCTCTAACGACGTGCCTGCTACGAACTCAAATTGCAATCAGTTACCGATAGCTCAGATCAATAACTGACTGCCGTTCGTTTTGGAACACCTTTGTGGATTCTGATTACGTGCTCGTCCGGAGTCGCTTCGTTTTCCAGGACCACGTAAGGTGCGAACAAATAACTTAGTAACTGAGAGTGGCAGGTTTGGATGTTGGACAAATTTACCAGAATCGTCTTCTGAGGTCTCCTCCAAGTGCCGTCAGGTGTGAATTCTTCCAGGGACAAGATCGCCCATGCCACGGCGCTGCGTGATCCATCCAAGCAATGGATCAGACCAAACGATGGCACTGCTTAACTCTCGGAGAAATATCCCCGCCTATTCCGAAATAGCATAACCCGAATGATTGTCAGACGTCAAATGAAAGTGAGCGAGCCCGCCGTTCAGAAAGACGGGAACGCCAGGAGATTATTTCAGTTGAACAGTGCAACCGGTCCACGGAAACTATCAAAGGTCTGGATAGAGCAACCATCTTGAATAAAGAATGCCTCGACCGGTGGGCCGAATACTTCGAACAACTGTTATCGTGATCACAATCCACCACTCACCTGGAGCCTACCAACTTACGATGAACGTGGAACCCCCTATGACTGCATATGTCCCATCAATCGTCATCGAGCTCCTGTCCCGGATGAACACCCACCCGCATTGTTCAAAGGTGAGGTTGATGTTGTCAGTCAGCGCTTGCCCGATCTGTTTGGTTTCA